GATATTAGTGTGAGTTGCCTCGTACCTGGATCCACACGGCTGGAGCGTGGCCCCCAGCTGGACTCGGGAGGCCTTCCTGGCCTCTCCAAAGTCAATTAATTTGACCCTTAAAGAGTGCTCCTGCAGGTCAACGAACATGATGTTATCGGGCTTGATATCGGTGTGTACGATACCAAGCCCTTTTAGTGCATCTAGAGCCACCAACAACTGCAAAGACACAAGAGGGAAAAAGAATTGACAAAAAGGTTGAACTTCAAATTGCTGAGAATTGGGATGTAAGAAATGCGCTAAAAATGAACAAAGTGACGCTAACAGTTTAATATGAACTAGATCAGTTTTGAAACCATAAACCTTTGGTGCAAGGCCTTCATGTTGCAACATAATATTTACAGTAAATCCTTTAGTACCTGGTGGGCAATAGGCCGGATCTCATTGAGCTGGAGTGGTACCCAGTTCCTGTTTGACATGAACGAATAGAGGTCCACTTCCAGCATCTCAAAGGCCAGACAGTGAAGGCCCATGACCTCGAACTGCTCCACAAAGCACACGATGTTTGTGTGGCTGGGGTCGAGGACACTGAGCTCCTCCATCATGGACACCTAAAGAGACATAGATTTGAGTTCAAACTGTGAAGTCAAATGCATGACATAATACTGGTCAAAAAGTGCATTTAACAAAGCAAATACTGGTAGACTCTAGCTCATGTTCTGTTTAGTCCTCTAAATTCAATTAGCTTTTGGCTCTACCACCTCTGCACCTCTGCCAATATAAAATCAAATCTTTGCAAAAACTGTATTTGAATCAGGACAGAAGTCTGTGTGACTCTGACCCTCCAGTTTCATTTGACAAACCTGACTTACCTCGTGCTCCTTCTCCTTAAACTGTTGCTCTTTGAGGAGCTTAACAGCCACAATCTGGTCCTGGTCCACGGCGTGGCACTTGGCTACGCGGCCAAAGCAGCCGTCACCAAGCCACTGCAGGACGGAGTAAGAGTCGGTCCGGCCCTGCAGGGTGTGACCGATGGTGACCTCTGAACTGTGCTGAGGTGCTAGACAAGAAAGACAAGACAAGACAAGACTTCATCAGGGTCAAATGCACTGGACACTTCTACAGGATTTTCTTCTGCTACTTGCATTGTTGTTGTCCAATTGCAAAATACCACTGTTACCTTTAAAATAACTTAGTACTACTACTACTGCTACAACAATTACTACGACCAGTGTTGGGAAGGTTACTTTTAAAATGTATTCCCCTACAGATTACAGACCCCAAAATGTAGTTTGTAACGTAATCTATTAAATTACTTAAAGTGAGTAATGTAATCTGAATACTTTGGATTACTTGATATTGTCGTGCTTTTTAAAACGACATGAAATGTAGCAACCACATCCTGCAAATTCATGTTTGTTCTCTTCAAATTGGCCCTGGTTTAGACCGGGTTTAGTCCTGATTTTAAACCTGGTTTTAGTCCTGGATTAGACCTGGATTAGTCCTGGTTTAGTCCTGGTTTAGTCCTGGTTTAGACCTGGTTTAGTCCTAGTTTAGACCTGGTTTAGACCTGGTTAATCCCGATGTTAGAGCTGGTTTAGACCTGGTTTAGTCCTGGTTTAGTACTGCATTAGACCTGGTTTTAGTCCTGATTTTAGACCTGGTTTAGACCTGGTTTAGTCCTGGTTTAGACCTGGTTTTAGTCCTGGTTTAGTCCTGATTTTAGACCTGGTTCAGACCTGGTTTAGTCCTGTTTTAGTTTTAGACCTGGTTTTAGTCCTAGTTTAGACCTGGTTTAGTCCTGGTTTAGACGGTTTTACTCCTGGTTTAGTCCTGGTTTAGTCCTGATTTTAGACCTGGTTTAGACCTGGTTTAGTCCTGGTTTAGTTTTAGACCTGGTTTTAGGCCTGGTCTAGATCTGGTTCAGTCCTGGTTTAGTCCTGATTTGAGACCTGGTTTAGTCCTGTTTTTGTTTTAGACCTGGTTTAGCCCTGGTTTAGTCCTGGTTTTAGCCCTGGTTTAGTCCTGGTTTAGTCCTGGTTTAGACCTGGTTTAGTCCTGGTTTAGTCCTGGTTTAGAACTGGTTTTAGTCCTGCTGTAGACCTGGTTTAGACCTGGTTTTAGAACTGGTTTTAGTCCTGGTTTAGACCTGGTTTAGACCTGGTTTAGTCCTGGTTTAGTCCTGGTTTAGACCTGGTTTAGTCCTGGTTTAGTCCTGGTTTAGACCTGGTTTAGACCTGGTTTAGTCCTGGTTTAGACCTGGTTTAGTCCTGGTTTAGTCCTGCTTTGGACCTGGTTTTAGTCCTGGTTTAGACCTGGTTTAGTCCTGGTTTAGACCTGGTTTTAGTCCTGGTTTAGACCTGGTTTAGTCCTGGTTTAGACCTGGTTCAGACCTGGTTTAGTCCTGGTTTAGAACTGGTTTTAGACCTGGTTTAGTCCTGGTTTGGTCCTGGTTTAGACCTGGTTTAGACCTGGTTTTAGACCTGGTTTAGGCCTGGTTTTAGTCCTGGTTTAGACCTGGTTTAGTCCTGGTTTAGACCTGGTTTAGTCCTGGTTTAGTCCTGGTTTAGACCTGCTTTGGACCTGGTTTTAGTCCTGGTTTAGACCTGGTTTAGTCCTGGTTTAGACCTGGTTTTAGTCCTGGTTTAGACCTGGTTTAGTCCTGGTTTAGACCTGGTTCAGACCTGGTTTAGACCTGGTTTAGTCCTGGTTTAGAACTGGTTTTAGTCCTGCTTTAGACCTGGTTTAGTCCTGGATTAGACCTGGTTTTAGTCCTGGTTTAGGCCTGGTTTTAGTCCTGGTTTAGACCTGGTTTAGACCTGGTTTAGACCAGATTTTAGACCTGGTTTAGACCAGATTTTAGACCTGGTTAGACCTAACTTGGTTTTCATGTCAAACTGACTTTCATAACGTGTTAAATGTTTGTGTGCAGAAGTGGGTGGTTGTTTCTTATACTAAAACCTAAATATTTCCACAGAAAAGTGACTGAGAGTCACTGGAAACGCTTGTTTTTGAGATGTGTCTTGAGTGAGTCCTGTGTGGTTTTTGTGGATTACCTGCTGCACCAGAGGTCTCATAAGTGTCCCAAGACGACATAGTTGTACTAAAGTCAAACTTGGTCCAACGACGGGTTTCCAACAAAAAGTGTTCTGAGCTCTCTCCAAAGTGTGTGTTTACTCCAAAGGTCTCAGTGAAAATGACCAGATAAAAAGTGACCGGTCTTATATAACAGTTTCAGAAGATTTCGGAATGCGATGCCATACACGCCATGGCAACGTCGTGGCAACGGGGAGTTGCTTTGATTTAAAACGATGATGAGCAAAGTCAATAGAAATGTGTGTTGCCGTGGTCACTCGTGTTCTATAAGCTGTTCTATAAGCTTGATTCTCAGCGTTCGCCACTCACTTGTATTTGTTTCTCTGAAGAGTGAAGATGCATTTACACAGCTCCTGTTTCTAGATACTTGTACTCCTGCTCTTAGGATACCGATACCTGTACCTGTACCCCTACCTTTACAACACCTGTACTTGCACTTGTACACAGCTCCGACCTGTGCTTGTACTTGTGTCCTGTGTCAGTATTTGTACTTGCACACAGTTGTAACCCTCCACATATAATGGCGTCCACACTGAAGTCTGGAGACCTGATCGAGACGAGCTCCACCGTATACGAGCTGCAGAGTCTGCTGGGCTCAGGGATCTACGGAGATGTCGCTCTCTGTCACAATCGCACCACCAACCGGACGGTGGCGCTCAAGATCCTGAAAGGCCCATGTGCCCTGAGAGCATGTTTTCAAGAGGTCAGTTTGCACAGGTTCTTCTCACATCTACATGAGGGCACACTCACATGGCCAGTACAAATGTGATCACTCAGAATCAGATCACTCACAATCAGATAACCGTGAATAGATCTGATTTTTGACAGCTGAAGATCCTCCAGGTCCTCTCTGCACACGGCGCACACCACGTCCACATGGTGCACTGGCTCGGCTCCTTTTGGTCTTCTGGAAGATTCTTCCACGAGTTTGAGAAGCTGGACATCAGCCTGGCCCAGTTTCTCAGCCAGACGCCCTATAAGAGTCTGAGCCTCATGGAGATTCGCCCGATCATCTGGCAGGTACAGACACACGCCCCTGCTGCAGCACACTTTGACAAAATAATCAAGCGTGTTATCAAGCGTGATATTGTACTAACATGTGTCCTGTGTGTAACGTGTGCTTGCAGATGGCCCGAGCTCTCCTGTTCCTTCAGCGTGAGGGCATCATGCACACTGATCTGAAACCAGAGAACATCATGATGGAGGAACACGTGAAGAAGCCGCTGTCCATCAAAATCATTGACTTTGGCCTGGCGTGTTTAGTGAGAAAGGCCGATCTGACAAAGGAGAGACAGACTCTGCCGTACAGGTACGACAGTACACAGTTCAGAATAAATCCTATAATGTAGTAGCATACTCCTGTATGTTCTCGCTATAATCAAAGTATTTTAAACTGTGGTTTGAAATCATTTGTTCATTTGTCAATAATGTGTGTGTGCAGAGCTCCAGAGAGCCTCCTCCGGGCCCCTGTCAATGGGGCCATAGACATGTGGTCCGTGGGCTGCATTGCCGCTGAGATGTTCTTGGGAGTTCCTCTGTTTCAGGCTAGAGACGAGCGGGACATGATGAGGCTCATTGTGGAGACTGTGGGACACCCTCACAAGTCCTGTCTGGACCAGGGTCTCCGGACCAAAATGTTCTACAGCCACTCCCAGGACAGAGACAAGTGGACATATAAGGTACGTCCAGCTCCTTCTGTTCACTGCTATACGTGTCATCACTCTGTGTGTGTGATATATATATATATATATATATATATATATATATATATATATATGTAATTGTGTGCTCCTGTTTCAGAGTGGTTTGTTGTCCACTCGCAGGGTCACACGTCTGGAGAACATCCACAAGGTGAGAGCACACCTCATTTTTACTCAGGGCACAGGTTGAGTCCTAAACTGTCTCAAAGTCGTGTGTTAGGGTTTTGAAAAACAAAAGAGGTGTTGGCCACCGACTCAAGTGCTGCTGCTTCACACTAGTGTTGTAGTGCTCCTGAGCAAGGTACATCCCCACCTCCAGCCACAGTTGTGTTGATAGATTCAGCTCACATATGGTTGGGGCAGTTGATGTCACACTTGTGATTGTAACATTGTAAAGTAGAGCCACAGGTGCAGATGTGACCCTTTGTGTGTGTGTGTGTTTCAGAGAGACCCCCGGGGCCCTCTGGCCTCCTGTACCCCCACAGAGAAGCACGACCGGGCCGTCTTTGTCAACCTGCTCATACGTATGCTGGACCTCAACCCAGAGACGAGGATCAGCCCCAAGGAAGTGCTCGAGCACCCCTTCCTCACCATGAGCCACCTCAGCGGCGCCTAGTGAGTACCCACTGTCCCCTCACACACACGTCACTATATGTCAATGGAAACGAATGAGCAGAGGAACTTTAGAAGGGTGGAGGCAGCGGTGCAGTAGGTTGAGTGGTCGCCCACCAACCAGAAGATGTCTGTTTCAAACTTCACACTGCAGAAAGAAGAGAGGAGACATGCATTACCTCCAAAACCTGAGCAGCAGTGGCATAAAGACTATTAAATGGTCACATTTTTACCTTCCAGGCGCTCAAAGCACTTTACACCACAGAAATACTACATACTACATACTACATACTACATACACCAGTGTACACAGACACGGGGGCAGCATTTCTCCTTTAAATCACTAACTGTGTTTGTGTCTTGTCTTTCAGTGTGATGCAGAGCCACTGGCTTCTGTCCAAAGTGAGTCAAAGTGCTCAAGACCCCGCCCCGTCCTCTAAGGCTCCTCCCACTATGGTAGCCTCAAGAGGACAAACTTCTGGGCTAAAACGCAAACGCGAGGAGCAGGCGTCTGTGAGCAAAAAACACAGGAGCTCCAGTCCCAAGACCAGCCGCAAAACCAACACCTTACCAGGGCCATCGAGCTCATCTATGCCACCAGGACTCGCAAGAACGAACTTCTGGTCTTAAACGCAAACACGAGGAGCAGAGGTTTGCCTGCAAAAAACTCAGGAGCTCCAGTCCCAAGACCAGAAACAACACCAGCCCCAAGACCAGCACCCAGACCAATCCCAAGACCAGCACCCACCAGGGCCTCCGAGATCAACAATGGCGACAGGCTCAACAACGGCACCAGATTCCCCACTTCCACCAGGGCCACCGAGATCAACAATGGCAACAGGCTCAACAACGGCACCAGATTCCCACGGCCACCAGGGCCACCGAGCTCAACAATGGCGACAGGCTCAACAACGGCACCAGGTTCCCTACGGCCACCAGGGCCACCGAGCTCAACAATGGCGACAGGCTCAACAACGGCACCAGGTTCCCTACGGCCACCAGGGCCACCGAGCTCTCCAGGGCCCCATCATCAGCCTGTATCCACAGGAAAGAGAGCTCAGGAGGACCGGATTAACCTGACTTCTCGGAGCTCTCCCAAAAGGACCAGGTCTGAGGGCCAGCAGTGAATCTGGCTCCGGCCTAAAGCTACAGCTTCATTCGCTGATCAAATATGAATAAACATTCAGCCTCAAACCTTCCTCATTTTGAGACTTTTATTTCACAGATAAAGTTGTAACCGGAAGTGGGCTAATTGACACGGGTTACATATTAGAATATGTGTTTTACAGATATATTGGATAACTGTGTTTCATGATGACAGTACGTCTGATGTCTATGCATGTCTCTACTCCTGGTTGGATGGATTTAACATTTTTTGGACAATTGTTTTTTTTTTCCTTTGTTTAAAGCAAACAGAACAAACAGCACCCAATGGCCTTGTGTTTACCCAGCACAGCACGCAACAAAATTTGCACTGCATTTTACCCGTCACGTAGGTGGCAGATCCAAAGCCAACTTCACTGGACACAATTTGTTCATGTAAAGAGGCTAAGTGGCGGAACCGAGAGCTTACAAGCGCAAATAAACAGGTAGCAAATGGTTAACAGGTGTTTTCCCAGTAGGATAACACCCGCGCCTCACTTGATGAATGCAAACTGGCTGGTTCTGCCCACCAGAGGTCTGCCTCCTGTTCAAGGGAGGGTACGCATACAACCCGTCACATATAGTCATAACTTTACAAATCATTTGACCACTCAACTAAACACAATGAAGATATCTATAGTACATGGAAATGACACATTTGTTGGTGGGACTTACAAAGATGCTTTTGGTCCTCCTAAGCCTTGGCACAATCATTTGTCGAGCATCATCCTCTCCATGTTTCATACTGGAGTCAGAAAGATCAAGCCCAAAAGGAATCTTCTCTTTGCTCTTTAATAAACACAAATGAAAACAGTTTAAACAAACAATACATTATATATTGTAACTAATAGCTACTGATCTGTATTGCTTAGATTAATAATTAAGATGAAATTTTATTCCGACTGAATCTAGATCGGAGGTCTTCGACACAGGTCCTGGAAAACTAATGTATGTGCAGGCTTTCAAAATGTCACCTAATACACATGTATATTTAGGTAATTTAGGACCTGGCAAGCAGCTGATTAGATGAATGAGATGTGCTAGGTTAGGACTGGAGAGAGAGCCTCAAGATGAGTAGCCCTCTAGGACCAGAACTGGCAATGGTCTACATGTTATCAGGGTATTACAGTGCAAACAGCAAAAGCAGATATTTAGTCTATATACTGTACAATCCCATGCTCAAACTTGCAAGTGTGCTTGCTTATCATTAACTAAATTGATCAACAATACAAACAATTGCCAACACTAATATCCGTTTCTCAGTATAATGAAAATGGTGAGCATTCACCCAATAGTAACCCCAGCTAAAACAAATACAAGTCTTAAAACATGATTCAAATTTGTCAGAGAAAATATCCAATCAAATGACTGTTTTCAAATCCAATCAACCTAAATCAGCATCCTAACGGTCACATCGGTCAGTGTCTTGCTAGCTGTAGGTCGATTTTTTTTTTAATCCAGTCATTTGATTGGACCGTGAGGAAAACTTAGAAAATAAGGTTCTGTAAATGAGATCCTATGGGCATAGGCCCTCTGCCGGAATCAAATTTTGATGATGCAGGATGGGGTGGATGACCAGGCAAGGTGGAAGCTACAACAATCAAAAGTGGAATGGATACAGTAGAGGCCTGTCACTTTTTAACATGGCCATCATAGAAGAATGGAATGTGAAAGTGTCCATCCTAGGGACGGGCATTCGGTGAAATTTTCTTAATCGATCGTCGGAAGAATTAACGATCGATTATCGATTAATCATTAACGTTTTTATATTAAAATTATCATCATTATTATTATTACTATCTGCACTAATCTGCATAAATAAATTCAACTTTACGACATATAAACCGTAACGACTCTAGAGCCACATCAATCCGTTTGAAATTATAATGTGTTTAATTCAGTTTTGCGCAACTCCCACAAAATGAAACTTAAAACCGCATCACTAATTTGCATAAACTAAGCGAAGATAAAACTACAGCTCTTGTGCGCTGATGCGGTCAATTTCTGTCGGATTAAAAGACACGACTCAGCGGAATACAGGTTAGTGTGATCATATTTGTGTTTGTCAAAACCAGGACACCGTACGAGGGGCGGGAGGTCGGGACTCGTCATCTACATTGTGCGACTCTCACCTGGCAAAGCTTTTTCCCACTGGACACCGAAACATATGTGCTGCTTTATACACTGTGCACATGAACTCACACTTGTCCCGAACGGAAAGCGTGGACTTTCTTGTACAAGTCATCGTTGCACATCATTCATATTTGCACTTCAGTACGTTGCAGACTGACCGACTGTTTGTGTCTCGCTCCTTCTGAGTGCAGAGAGCTACACGTACTGACCCTGTTTGGTCACTCTACACTACGCACAGCAACCTACATTCGGTTTGTCGATTAAAATTAACGTAATCGATGAAATTCTTAATGATCAATTATCGATGAATCAACTAATCATGCCCATCCCTAGTCCATCCACTCCTATGTCAAAACAATGCCATTTCAAATGACCAAAAATAGTCTAAAGAACAGGCAGAATACACATATGTAATTACAATGTCATGACTCCCCTTGACCCAGACTGTTTTTACCACAGTAGATTTATAATTACATGGACGTGCATAGCTTGATTCAGCTATGAGTGCTCAAAGTAGGAAATGTTCTATATAAATAAAAGTGGATTTGATTGAAAGTGGATTTTATTGAAAGTGGATTGGCATTTGTGCTGTGCTGCCCAAACCTAAACAAGCCATTTCACTTTCATGTATTTTAAACTGCAAAATATTTTGCTGTAAAAAACAAAACAAAACAATGAAACAGTGAATGAGCACTTCAAAATCTATTCTATCAAGACAGTGGCAGGTTGAAATGCGGGCATGCTTAGTGACAGGGCGCTATTGCTGAAATTACTGAAGTTGCTACAAAGGACAAAGATACCTGCATGGTGGATGGGGGAACATCTTCTTTAGTGCTGGAACTGATGGCTGATTCGCTGGAGTCTGAGTAGGTTACCAAGGTGGACTTGGCTTTTTCAAAAACCTTTTTGTGTTGCAACACCATGCTGGAGCTGCATACAAAGGAACTATTCTCTAAATCCTTGACAAAGGAGTCTCCACTGCCACTCTAAAACATTCAAAGAAATTTAGATTATAAGACTGCATGTTTCAAATCAAACCAAAAATAAATTGGGAGGGATCAAATGAAATGTTCAGACTGAATCTTTGTCATAGATGCAAGCAACCAGAATTTATTACCAGACCTGTTGATTGTTGCTGCAAAATGATGCTAATGCAAACAGAGTCATCTTAAGCATGTCTTGTGTTAAAAGAATTGTTTAAAACGCACCACCACGTCAGTGTGCAGTCAGTGTACAATCAGAATGTAACCTTGTTAACACAACCCACATGCTACAAGCAATTCTTGGATCCCTATCAGAGTTTGGCTCCACCAGTAAACATCCTTTCCTTTATAATCTGTCCTTTACATGGCCCACACAAGGCTGTACCTGAGACTGTGTGTGTGTCACCTGTATTATCATAAACTTGGAGTGGGGGATGGGTACAGATACCCCACAACGCTGTACCTGAGACTGTGTGTGTGTCACCTGTATTATCAGTAACTTGGAGTGGGGGATGGGTACAGATACCCCACAAGGTTGTACCTGAGACTGTGTGTGTGTCACCTGTATTATCAGTAACTTGGAGTGGAGGATGGGTACAGATACCCCACAACGCTGTACCTGAGACTGTGTGAGTGTAAGCAAGAACCATATCTGATCAAACCAGCCCACTAATCCTCACAACTGAAAATACTCTATGACATGATCTTGAACCTCATTACAACTAGTAAGAGTGTGTGTTTATACTTGTCAATGTGTTTGTGATTTGAGGCAATGCAAACATAAAGTCTGGTAACAGATTTTTACCTGCAAGCTGGGGGGTGAGACCTCTTCCTGTTGCATCACTGGGTTCTCCACAGCTTCGTTAGGAGAGTCTCCATCAGCCTAAGTTATGAATTACAATCAGTTATTCAGAATTGGTATGTGTAGTACTCATCATACTACACAACAGCTATACAGTAGCATGTGTCTTCTACTGGGTTGAGACCATCAGCCAGTCAGCAACTCATGTTAGCTCTAAATCATTATACAAGCACTCCAAGTCATACCCAACCTCCGGTTTTAGCAGAAATACAACCCTGAAGAACATCAGCATTATTTGAAGTATACAGTGCATCATATTTGCCAAGTTATGTTCACTGTGTGTGTATGGCCCACATGTTATATTGAGTGGTGATGTATGTCTCAACATGTGTTGTGTTAAAAGAACAGTTTAAAAAGCACCACCACTTCAGTGTGCAGTAACTGCAGTCAGTGTAAAGTCAGTGATCCAAGAATTGCTTGTAGCATGTGGATTGTGTTAACAAGAAGGTTACATTCTAGTAGACTTTGGCTGTAGCAGTAAATGTCCATCTCTGCAATCTATCCTTTACATGGCCCACACAAGGTTGTACCTGAGACTGTGTGTGTGTCACCTGTATTATCATAAACTTGGAGTGGGGGATGGGTACAGATACCCCACAATGCTGTACCTGAGACTGTGTGAGTGTAAGCAAGAACCATATCTGATCAAACCAGCCCACTAATCCTCACAACTGAAAATACTCTATGACATGATCTTGAACCTCATTACACCTAGTAAGTGTGTGTGTTTGCATTGCCTCAAATCACAAACACGTTGACAAGTATCTAAACACAAAGTCTGGTAACAGATTTTTACCTGCAAGCTGGGGGGTGAAACCTCTTCCTGTTGCATCACTGGGTTCTCCACAGCTTCGTTAGGAGAGTCGCCATCAGCCTAAGATATGAATTACAATCAGTTATTCAGAATTGGTATGTGTAGTACTCATCATACTACACAACAGCTATACAGTAGCATGTGTCTTCTACTGGGTTGAGACCATCAGCCAGTCAGCAACTCATTTTAGCTCTAAATCATTACACAAGCACTCCAAGTCATACCCAACCTCCTGTTTTAGCAGAAATACACCCCTGAAGAACATCAGCATTATTTGAAGTATACAGTGCATCATATTTGCCAAGTTATCTTCACTGTGTGTGTATGGCCCACGTTATATTGAGCGGTGATGTATGTCTCAGCATGTGTTAAAAGAACAGTTTAAAAAGCACCACCACTTCAGTGTGCAGTAACTGCAGTCAGTGTAAAGTCAGTGATCCAAGAATTGCTTGTAGCATGTGGGTTGTGTTAACAAGAAGGTTACATTCTAGTAGACTTTGGCTGTAGCAGTAAATGTCCTTCTCTGCAAACTATCCTTTACATGGCCCACACAAGGTTGTACCTGAGACTGTGTGTGTGTCACCTGTATTATCAGTAACTTGGAGTGGAGGATGGGTACAGATACCCCACAACGCTGTACCTGAGACTGTGTGAGTGTAAGCAAGAACCATATCTGATCAAACCAGCCCACTAATCCTCACAACTGAAAATACTCTATGACATGATCTTGAACCTCATTACACCTAGTAAGTGTGTGTGTTTGCATTGCCTCAAATCACAAACACGTTGACAAGTATCTAAACACAAAGTCTGGTAACAGATTTTTACCTGCAAGCTGGGGGGTGAAACCTCTTCCTGTTGCATCACTGGGTTCTCCACAGCTTCGTCAGGAGAGTCTCCATCAGCCTAAGTTATGAATTACAATCAGTTATTCAGAATTGGTATGTGTAGTACTCATCATACTACACAACAGCTATACAGTAGCATGTGTCTTCTACTGGGTTGAGACCATCAGCCAGTCAGCAACTCATTTTAACTCTAAATCATTAAACAAGCACTCCAAGTCATACCCAACCTCCTGTTTTAGCAGAAATACAACCATGAAGAACATCAGCATCATTTGAAGTATACAGTGTATCATTATATATTATATATCTAGATAGATAGATAGATAGATAGAGATATATCCTTTACAAGGGTATATACAAGGGTCACCTGGCCACGAGGGCAGCAGTCAGTCAAAAGATGATATAATTGATAAAACATATACAGAGGCACATACAATGTCACTGACAAACCTTTTCTCTCCATGGCCAATTGTCATCTCCGTAGTCATAAGTAATCTCCTCTCCACTGTGTATGTCTCTAACAGCGAACAGGCAGAGGTGTGGCTTTCTACCAACTAATATCCTTTTCATCCTACAGTTAGGATGGACATGATCATCGTTGACCAGCCTTCCCAATGAGCCGTCTTCCATCGCAGCATCAATGCTTCAAATGAGACATAAAGTATCAAAAGTCAAGCAGGACATTAGGCCAAGATCATCTACTGATTATTGGAAGCTTGTATGGCCAGAAATTAAAGAAAAACTTTGGTGTAAAATGAAAACTGGCATGTTAAAACATCATACCGAGTTGGTATGTTTGCTGAAATAAACTGCGCTAGCCTGTTGCATTTAGAACTTCACAAATTTTTATAATTTTAACAATAGTAGGGCTATGGGCATAGGGAAAGCATATGAAGATTACATTATTTTTTAAACCATAAAAAACAGCTTGAAGAAACATGCCAATTTTCATTTTACACTAAAGTTTCCCTTTAACACCCACCATACAGTAAATGCTTACCACCATTTCTTTCCATGCCACATGAAGTCGAACATGAAGCCCAAGCATTTTGCATTATATATCCTCCTCCCCCTCTCTGATTCCTCAAGGTCAATAAGTTGTCCTCTATATTCGACCACAAAATCCCTTTTTTGAAAAGGCGACAGGGCAAATACACCCCTGCCTGTTCACAGAAGTAAGAGTTAGTAAAAAATGTATTGCCCATGTTGGCAACATGGTGAAGCTGCAAAAAGAACCCTCATTTCACCTAAGACACATGTAATATAACTATCCTAAGCAGATATCTTCAGTACAAAGTACCAATTAACACTGATTGCAGAGACACTTACCTTTAGTGGGGTTTATGTATTTAACATCCAACATGGCAGTCTGGTCTGTGCCACTGATGACATGTTGCTCTGCTACACTCTGAGGGGTTACCCTCCTTCTCGCCATTTTACCTGTAGAAAACAGATTAAAAGGGGAAATTCACTATTTATCAATTTAAGTCCTTTAGAACTCTAGCCTGAATCTGAAACATAGAAACAATACTTTCACTGATAATTCCAGGATTTGAGCTTAAATCTCTTGCATTACTACAAGCACAAACGTGCATACACACATGTAAGCAACACAAGGCTAGGTAAAGATCTATGCCCTAATCATTATGCTACCAATATATCAAACATGCCATATATCAACATTGTCAGAACTTTTACCTGAAAAAAGTCACATGTTAAACACTGTGATGAAAAAGAAACCACACTACCTCTCAGAGGTAGTACATATACTTATTACACTAAAGCTGTTGAAAACATCTTAATAAAGAAATATGAGAATAGTAGTACATGCCCAAATAAGAATGCATACCACAATGATGAAAACTACTAGATTGCTTGGCTAACTACCTATCACACATATACTCAGGATAGAGACAGGGCAATGGACAAGTGCAACCTTGATAGTGACACAACATGGAGTGCTTCAGAAGAACGTCAAGACTGGGACTCTCAAATTTATGTTAAAAAGTTAATTCAATACATCCCGTAATTTCAAAATAAGATAAAACTCTGCAAAAAGCTTGACCTTACTACAAGTCTGATAGAAGAGGCAACGATGAATTCTGACATACACGTTGTTACCATTGTCCATTGGTTCATGTTACAATAAGAAATTTCACACAAACATTTCTGAAAGGCTTATGTGGCAAACATCGTTTGCAGTTATCCATATAGCAGAGCCGGTCTCTGCTTCCAGTTTAGCTTCTTGTAATGTGAACCAATTACCATTGCTAACATACACGTGTATGTTAGCAAAGCACTGAAGTCTGGACGCGAAGCTTGGCTAATAATCTCTAATTTATTCTCTCATTACAACTAATTATAGTATTTTTTACGGCCCAATGAAATGTCATATAAGTGAATAAAGTGGAAAAGTAGCTGGCAGAATCTAACATCGTCTTCCATCAAACGTTTTCCCAATCGAGCATGGCGATTGGTTAGCTAGCCTTGCTCCGGTGTTTAGAAAAACACATGCAAATTGGTTTGTACAGTGTCCCCAATCCCCTAAATAACTAAGAATACATTACTTCTGCCTCGCACCGCACCTCTCCGCCCGTACACCGCCGCCGCCCGTACACAGCCCCCGGTCCGTGAAATATTGTCAGATATAAAACCACAACATCCGTGGCGCAAAAAGGGTTGGGGACACTGGGTTAGCATACGTAGGCTAGTCTAACATTAGCTAGCAAGGGATGCTATTCTAACATTAGCTCCCTTGCTAGCTAGCTTCTTCCTTCGAAAATATGAGACACGATAACACACTGCATTTTTATTATGGTAAATGGTAAATGGTCACATTTTTCTATAGCGCTTTTCCACCTTCAAGGTGGATTGCTTGAACTTGGCGTGAAAAAGTCAAACTGCAGTACCGTTTGTGGCCTGTAGAGGGCCAATCTTAAGTACACTTAAGCACACATAGTCATGTTTTTGTGAAGTGTGGAGAACTTGAAATTTCTGCACTAGACATATCAGCAACGTCTCCTCTATCCATTCCAATGATTTCCCTTGTGGGACCCAGGATTTTGAACCCCACAAAAAATTTGTTCCACACACCGTGAGTGTGCGGTCAGTAGAGATGCGCGGATTGCGGTTACAACCGCGGTATCCGCGGTTAATCCGCGGGTCGGGCGGATGACGTGACGAAAAATGATATTTTAATTAAATTCGGGCGGGTGGCGGTTTAACTACAAAAAAAAAAAAAAAAGTTATTGTTAGTATTGTTACCTACATCTGAAAAGACGAGTCTCATTGTTTATGCTTGTAGTATGAAGTGTACGTCATGTCCTTAATTAGCCCATTTGACCTCGTTTTATGTTCTGAAGGTTAAGGTTGTGTCGGGTTATTGATGCCTAAGGTTTACGAGGCACATATTATATGCAGTTTATTTTATTATTTCTAATTTATTTCAGCTGTTTGCCAACACGTAAGTGGCTATAGGGCCATATTTATGCTTTTTTTTTTGTTTCGATATCAGATATATTTTAAAACACGCAGACATTATAGCGTAGACTGCCACTCGGGGTATTTAAAACTTAAAGAAAGACCGATGGAGTGAGGCTATGACTTTGAAATAACATCGGGCAATGGCAGAATGTTCAGAATGTAACAACATCCAACACGAAGGCAAGAAGGTTCAAAAACAGCCTAGTCGGAAAACGTTGTCAGTTTAGTAGCTGCGCAAGAAAACCAGGTAAGTTTGGGGTTGTTACGGACAATTAACTGTGTCGGCGGCAAGGTGGGGCATTTGAGGGCCGTGCCCCCCCCTAGCGGCCACTGGTGCCCCACCCCCCAACAGGCCGTTATTTTTACTATTTTAAAATGATTTTGCTTGGCGCATTTCACACATCACAGTCTCTGTTTATTTAGTGTAATGTGATTGGACAACTGTCCTGTCACTCACGTCACGTCACGTCAACCTGCTGCGTCAACTCGTAGCAGCTTCACGATTAGCGGCAGCTGCTACTTTAGCCTAAAGCTCCACACAGGAAATGGCGAGAACAGAGTCAAAGACCCGACCTGACAGACCCGCCGCCGGGACCCTGGACTGTCGCCGCTGGGACTCGGGGCAGTCGCCGCTGGGACTCTCGCTGCCGCCGCCGGGGCCAGGGCAGTCGCTCGCTGCTCTATCCGCCTTTGCCCGCTCGTTTCTGGGTGTACAAGTTTGACCTGAGCATAGCGCGCAGAGGCATAATTCTACCTGGTGTCCTGGTGCTGATATGGACTGACCGTAACTTTCAGATTTCAGTGGGAAGTGGGATTAAGACTAATTTTACAACCATCTTGTGCACTCGGCTCTCTGGCTCCTGGACCTCGCGTCACGGACCAGACTGGACCAGGATTTGGACCAGTTTCATAGATAGATAGATAGATTTAGATAGATAGATTTATTTATTGTCATTGTATGAAATACAACGAAACTTCAGCAGAGCAGATCTGTAGCAGTAAAAATGTACAATATATATACACACACATCCTCACATCCATACCAATAAAAAAAAAACATTTATTAAATAAAATAAATAAATTATTGCACTGAGTCCCTTCAGGTCTTTTATCTGTGCCTGTGCCCCTGGAGCACGTCCACTGCTCGTGGATAGAAGCTGTTGCGCAGCCTGTTTGTGCGTGTGAGGGGAGTTTGAAGTCTTCCTGAGGGGAGAGTGTGGAAGAGGCAGTTCCCGGGGTGTGTGGGGTCCTGCAAAATGTTGGAGGCCCATGTGTGGAGACGTGAAGAGTAGATGGTGTCCAGGTTCGGGAGTGAGGAGCCCACCACCTTTTCAGCTGTTCTCACCACTCGCTGCAGGTCCTTCTTTTCAGCAGCTGTGCAGGCTCCATACCATGATGTACAGCAGTACGTTAGAACGCTTTCGATGGTGCACCGGTAAAAGTTGGTTAGGAGCTTCTGGGAGAGCCCGTTCTGGCGGAGTGTTCGTAGAAAAAACAGTCTCCGCTGGGCACGCTTTATAACGCTGATGGTGTTTAGGCTCCAGGTTAGATTCTCACTGATCTCCACACCCAGGAACTTAAAGTTGGAGACCCTCTCTACCTCTTCTCCGTTGATGTAGAGGCCAATGTGATGGGGAATGCATTTGTTTTTCCTAAAATCAATTATCATTTCTTTAGTTTTCTTTGTATTTAAATGCAGGTCATTGTCTTTACACCAGGAGATCAGTGTCAGGACCTCCTCCCTGTAAGCAGCTTCATCATTGTTTGTTATGAGCCCCACAATAGTTGTGTCATCAGCAAATTTGATGACAGTGTTGGAATTATGGTCATCTCTTCATATTGGACAATAAACTTTTGGAAACAGAACCAGTGGGACAATGGATAGAGGAAACACTCTGCTTCAGTCTCTGGAGAAGGTAAGAGGCTGGTTTTCATTAGTTTGCGGCAAATCTGAACTTGGAGCCTCACAGGTAAATAGTGTTATAGTAGTTAAATAGTGTTATAGTAATGTGTTATAGTGTTAATAGTTAATAGTTTAATAGTTAAATAGTGCGTAAATGAGCTGGTGGGTGAGATGGAGCTGCTCTGGTTGTTCTGTCGTGTGCTGTAGGAGCGGCATCTGTGTTCATGTTTCTTATTGTAGTTTTGTTGACGTTGTTGGGTCTGGGTGTGAGCGGCGTGTTACGTTGTGTTGTTGTGTAAAGTTTGCGCTTGGCTGTTCATTGTGCTCTGATCGATACTGTTCAGCCAATACTAACCAAAATGTCTGTTTCTGGTATTTGTTATAATACTACAGCCTATATATATAATACATATATTATTCATAATATATATTTATAATTTTGCCCTTGGTGCCCCTCCCAAAAATTATACCATCACCCGCCACTGGTCCTGGTTTAGTCCTGGTTTAGTCCTGGTTTAGTCCCGGTCCCTCAAGTCT